CATCCTAGCATTTCTGCAATAAAACTCACTTCATCATGGTGAATTAACTTTTTAATGTGCTTTTGGATTTCATTTGCTAGTATTTTGTTGAGAATTTTTACATTAGTGTTCAACAGGGATATCAGTCTGTAGTTTTCTTTTGTTGATGTGTCTTTCTGGTTTTGTATCAGGGTAATACTGGCCTAATAGAATAAATTTGGATGTATTCTATGTTACTCTATTTTCTGGAATAGTTTAAGTAGGGTTGGTATTAATTATTCTATAGATATTTGATAAAATTCAGCAGAGAAGCCATCATGTCTTGGGCTTTCTTTGCTGTGAGACTTTTTATTAGGGCTTTGATCTCATTATTTGTTATTGGTTTGTTCAGGTTTTGAATTTCTTCACGGCTCAAATTTGGCAGGTTGCATGTATCTAAGAATTTGTTTTTTCTGGATTTTCCAGTTTATTGGCATATGGTTGGAAGTGAGCCTTTTAATTTCTGCAGTATTTGTTTCATGTCTCAATTTTATTTATTTGGGTCTTTCTCTTTTTTTCTTAGGTAAAGTTTTGTTGATTTTTGTTTCAAAAAACAAACTTTTCACTTTGTTGATATTCCATATTGTATGCTTTCCGTCCATTTTATTTATTACGACTCTGATCTTTATTATTTATTTTCTTCTCATAATTTGGATTTGTTTGCTTTTGCTTTTTAGTTTTTTAAGATACATCACTAGGTTATTTTAAATTTTTCTACTTTTTTAGTGTAGGAACTTGTAGCTATAAACTTTCACTTGCCAGGTTTTGGTATCAAAGAGATGCCGGTTTCATAGAATGAGTTAGGGAGGATTTCATTCTCTTCATTTTTGGGAATGGTTTCAGTAGAATTGGTACTAGCTCTTCTTCATATGTCTGGTAGAATTTGGCTGTGAAACTGGTCTAGGTTTTTTGATTGGTAGATATTTATTGCTGGTCTAGGTTTTTTGATTGGTAGATATTTATTGTTATTTCTATTTTGGAACTTAATATTGGTCTTTTGGGGTTTTAATTTCTCCAGGATTCAGTCTTGGGAGGTTGTTTTTTTTTCTAGAAATTTAGTGAAGCTTCCTACAACAATCATTATTCTACACATATTCTTATCTTGCATGGCAAGCTATTTCTCCTAACATTCAAATTGGACAACTAGGTATATTGCTCCCAAATCATTAGTTTATGAGGATTTCCTCCACCGTTAGTCTATGGTTATCCTTGAGAGGCGTTACGCTGCAGCATTAGTCAATTTTTTTCTTGCCAAGTATATATTCAGACAATCCATTTGCGAGTCAAGCCTGAGGCTCTTTCCTCCTTTATCAGCTGGTTGTACGAAATCTATTTCTCACCATGAAGCCATAGGTGAGATATTATAACAAAGGAAGAGATATTGTCACAATAAAGGTATATCTATATCTCACAGAAATGCTTTTTACTGTATCAAATAGTTTTCAATTCTTTCTATCAAGTGCCAGCAAGCTCAGTATGAGATGGTATTTAATATTGGTAAAATAAAATTGAATAATGATTAACTTGAAGACAATTACAAATATGGGCACTGTGCATGTTTATAATAATTGACATTATATTTTATTAAAAATTTCTAACCCTGGATTTGATTGAGGAGTGCGGTTACTGGACAGGCTGGGTTTATGGTCGCTCCGTGGGCTGCTCCGTCGGCTGGTGCTTTTTTATCAGGGCAAGCTGTGTTCCATAGCAGGGAACTTTTGGCAGAGCTCCCACTATTTGCAATGGATTTTGGATAAATAAGATCTGTTGAAGGAGCACCAAAAGGATTTAAAGTTTCTCTCTGAAGAAGAATATTGGAAGTTACAAATATTTTTTACAAATGTTATCCAAGCATTAGGTGAACATCTTAAATTAAAACAACAAGTTATTGCCACTGCTACGGTATATTTCAAGAGATCCTATGCCAGGTATTCTCTGAAAAGTATAGATCTTGTATTAATGGCTCCTACATGTCTGTTTTTGGCATCAAAGTTGAGGAATTTGGAGTAGTTTCAAATGCAAGATTGACTGCTCCTGCTAGTTCTGTATTAAAAACTAGATTTTCGTATGCCTTTCCAAAGGAATTTCCCTAGGATGAATCATATATTAGAATGTGAATTCTACCTGTTAGAACTAATGGATTGTTGCTTGATAGTGTATCATTCTTATAGTCCTTTGCTCCAGCATGTGCAGGACGTGGGCCAAGAAGACATGTTGCTTCCCCTTGCATGGAGGATAGTGAATGATACCTACAGAATGGATCTTTGCCTATGGTATCCTCTTTTCATGATAGCTTTAGCTTGCCTACGGGTAGCCTGTGTTGTACAGCAGAAAGATGCCAGGCAATGGTTTGCTGAGCTTTCTGTGGATATTGAAAAGATTTTGGAAATAATCAGGGTTATTTTAAAACTATATGAACAGTGGAAGAATTTCGATGAAAGAAAAGAGATGGCAACTATTCTTAGTAAGATGCCAAAACCAAAACCATCTCCAAACAGTGAAGGAGAGCAGGGTCCAAATGGAAGTCAGAACTCTAGCTACAGCCAATCTTAAAACATTCTGAAGAATTCCGTAGTGGACCACTTGGAAATAAACCACTGGACAGATTTCAGTAATGTCTTCAGTGGAACACAAATGAAAATGAATAGCTTGTTTCTGTCAAGCATATTGGAAAGTGATTTTATTTTTCCAAAATAAGTTTTTCTTTATCTGATATGATTCTAGAACATAATTCATTAAAATCTCTTGATTATAAATGCTTGGAAAGGTTCTAAGGGGACCTACAGACAGCCATACATAGATGTTTCAAAATTAATAGGTTTTGATTAGTATAATATTTCTTAATTTGGATTATAGAAATTGTAGCTTTTTATTAAGCCAGGAAACATGAAGCATAATTTGTTTAGCCACTGAGGGACTAAAAAAGGATGTAAAATTTACAGTCAGTGTATGAGGGGTTTTTTCCCCTCCAGAAATTTAACTTTAAAACTGTATTTAAGGAATCAAATCCTACAAAATCCTGGAAGATTTTGGTAATGATGTTGATAATTTCAGGGAAATTAATCAAGTACCTATATTGATTTAAAAGTGTATTCTATTCAATAGTTTGAGGATCTTGCCATGGAAGATACTGGCCCAGCCTAGCAGAAAATTGCAACATGTATAGCATACTTTGACATTTTAAAAGCTGTATTCCATAACCATTTTGAAATGCTGGGCAAACTACATGAAGTTATTTATAATTAATTCACAGCTAATCAGGTATTTTGAAAGCTTAATTGGATTAAAAAACCATAATGTTGGAATTTGATAAAATTTTAATGTTGATTTTTACTGTGAAAGTTTTTTATAAGATATACGCACCCTAGTTTAATTTTGTGTCTTGGTGTGGATTTACAAATTTGCTACAGGTATTCTGAGCCAGGAACACAATCAAGTTTCAGGCCAGTCTGATACTGGCTGCCCTTAATTCTAATATGAGAGTAGGACTTCATACTAAATGTTATGTCAGTAGGATATACATACTGTCAGTGGGATGTACTGTCTGTGGAACTTAGCAAATTAATCATTTTCTTCAGACTTGAAGGAGAGTGATAAAAAAAATTTGGAGTCATGGTATATTGATGTACAACTGAAGGATTAAACATTTGTAAGCAATTGTGGACAATGGCTTATTAAATTAAATGTTGACCTCCTAGTAAAAAACTGCAAGAATAAAAGTAAGTTTTCTAGCTTAAAAAAAAAAAAAGAATTTCTATTCCTTTTTTTCCTCATGTAATTAAGAAAGATAAAACTGGCATGGACAGGTGAAACTCAGCATTAAATTTGTCAGCACTTTATAGAGAGCTCACCATTGAAGTTAGTTTGAATGAAGTTCTAAATTGTTCATATTTTCTTCTTATATAAAAGAGTTTTCCAGGCAAGTATTTAGCTATGTAATTTACATTTCACATGTGAAGTATAAGAAAACAGCCACTCTTTTCCCCAGAACTCACATAAATGCTGCCTTTCAAATCCAGAAAATATTCTCAGCTCAGATTCTTTATGACACAAAAACTAACTGCACTATGAGGGCTTACAAATTAAAATTCTGTAAATTACATTTCATATTGCGATTCCTTTTCATTATGTTTCTGAAATTTGTATTTGAAAAAAAAATGGCCATAGAACAAAACAAAAATCAAAATCAAAGCAATATGTTAGTCAAATATTTATAAAATGGATTTTAAGAATTTTATTTTAGTACTGCCCAGCAGTACTCAAATAAGTCACACAGTATTAATGCTAAACTAATTATGATATCAAGACCTGTGTTTAAACTGGGTTTACAACAAAGCAAGCTGCATCCTGAGTAGTGCTCACCTTTTTGTTTAGGTCTTATCTTATTACTATATTCTTATATTATTACTTATTACTATATTATTACTTAGTACTATATTCCAGGTAACTAATCCGCTTTAAATTCCTAATTCTAGTTTTGTGTACTCTCTGAAAAAACACTAAATATCAAACTAAGGTTATTAGTTTATTTCCATAATGTGAGGACCACTTGCTACATTTTGACAAGCTGGACTTCTTAAACCTTGGCTTTTTCTCAGCCAGTATCTCCTACTGCACAATTACTGGATTACAGTGTTAATTGTGAGAGCAGTCTATATTATCTGTTACATGTGTTATCAATTACTTTAGCTCAGTAAAACAAAAAGGATATCTGTATTCTTTTTAAAATGTTGCATTACATATAGAGGTTCTGACTAGCTTAGACATAGAATTTTACATACTTTTTATTCATTTCAACACAAAATCTAATTCACTGTTGAAACATTCTTCTTAAATAAGACCACAGTATTGCAAATTGTGATGAGTGGTGTTTAAGATGTTAATGAGTCATTATTATAGGAGTCCTTAAATAAAACAATGAATTTGTAGACAAATTTTCATGTCTAATTCAAGTTATATTTGATAAATGGAAATTATCTCATTTATATTTTATTAACACATTTTCCAGCCCTGAAGATTTTCTTCAGAGAATCTTTCATCTCTTTGTTCCTGAGACTATATATTAGAGGATTGCAGAGAGGTGTTATCACAGAATAAAACAAGGTAATGATTTGTTGCATTTTTACTGGGTGTCCTGATCCAGGTCTAACATACATCATCATGATAGAGCCATAAAACAAGGTGACAACTGCCAAGTGAGAAGTACAAGTGGAGAAAGCCTTTCGTTTGCCAGCCTCTGAGGGCACCCGCATTACAGCCAGAATCACCAGAGCATAGGAACAAAGGATAAAGAGAAAGGTGCCAATCATGAATATAGAATTGAATGTGGAGTAAATGAGCTGGGTAATAATGTCTTCAGAACAGGACAGCATCATCAGTGGGACAGGATCACAGACAAAATGGTTGATAATATTTGGGCCACAGTAGGAGAGCTGTGAAATGAGAATAACTGGAGTTAGGAAGATTACAAACCCACAGGACCATGCAAAGAGGATGAGGCCAGTGCATACTTGTTTAGTCATGATGCGTGGATAATGTAGAGGGCGGCAGATGGCAAGATACCTGTCAAAGGCCATGATGCAAAGAAAGAAGCCCTCATCGCACCCAAAAGAGAAGAAGAAGTAGAACTGTGCAAAACAACTCATGAATGAGATGGACTTGCTTGTGGAGAGGAAGTTGGCCAACATTTTAGGAACAGTTGTAGTAACATAACATATTTCCAGGAGAGAGAAATTTCCCAAGAGGACATACATGGGAGTGTGAAGGTGTGGGTCCCACCACACAGAACAGACAATGGCTGCATTTCCCATCAGGGTGAGAGTATAGGCTACCGAGAAGAGACTGAAGTAGAGGAGCTGCATTTCTGGACTTGAGGGAAAACCCATGAGGATAAAGTAGCTAACAAAGTTGATAGTTTCTATGCTGGATACATTCATTAGTCTGGAAGACATGGAGATGACAGAGGTCATTGAAACATGAAATGGAGCACGCTGGTTCTTCTTGGAAACACCAAAATTCTTTACCCTGTATATTATAAAGTAGTAAACAATTAGACTTTTGTTTAAACAACAAAACTGTGACTTTCATGACTCAACTCCTAAACAGATTTCTTTTAAATCACAACAATAGACAGCAGGGAAAATATGAATTGTGGAGAATTTCTTTTTCTTGCTAGGAATACTAGACTTGAAACTGGGAATGCAAACTTTTGTGATTCCAATAAATTACCTGTATATAATTAACCTACTCTTTCTTCTGTTGACCTGCATTATTGATACTATACTTATCTGGGTGTGAAATTCTTTCAACAATACTATGAATACCTGATTCATTGTGATTTGTTAGTGATATAAAAACAAAATACAAACTCAAGATGTTTAAAAATACTCTTTCTCAATGTAGTGTCATGCCAGGGCACAAATTAATATTTACTTTCAATTTCAGCTACTCCAGGTTACTTGTGGTGTTTTAAAGTGGCAATAAAAAGACCTCTGTCATTAGAGGATATATGGTCTTTTATGCTGTTTGCATGTATCTGTACGAATGTTTAGCATAAAAACACATTATTTTTAGGCAGTTGGATACCCTGTTTAGCATAAAACACATTCTTTTATTTTTAGGCAGCTGGATATCCTATATGCTGTGAGGAAGTGTGCCATACTTTGGTCCTTAAATTGCTCTGACTAAATATTTTTATATGCTTCCAGGTGAATATATGAACTACCTATGCCCATTAGGGCATTGACCTTAGGGAGAACAGCTGGTCTGAATGACTGTGGCCAAGTTCAATGAGCTTGTTATTTATAAGAAAGGCAGATCGAGCTTATATTATGAAAGTTTCCATGTTTTTTATTCACTGCTTTCTTCCACATGTTCCTTTTTCTTCCTTTGACTTTCATTGTCATTTTGCATCTCACTGTGGTGGTTCCCTGAGGCCTTTCCTATCTAGGCAAATCTGAAATGTGAAGCTTTTTCCCTGATTACTCTCTGGTTAACTTCTAGCCCACATAACAACAACAAAAACAAGAAAAAGTCATACCAGATGAAGATTTTTGTTTCTCAAATAATAACTAATTTGTATGATACCAAGTCTTATTAATGTAACAGAACTGAAAAATCAGTATTTGGGCTTGAGAAAGAAAATAGCACTGGAAAGAGAAATATGCCATATTTCTTCTACTCACCAAGCAACAAAAATTACCAAAATATACCCATCTCTAGCAATTCATCAGTTAGTATACATCTTCACTTGAAATTCTATAATTTTTGTATATGTAGCTATTCTTATTTTAAAGGGATATGAACCATAAATGGAAAATATCCTCCAGAATTTAGGGAAATAAGAAGAAAAACATATTTTTCAGCTTCATTCTTTACCAGCATTTCATTCTGAGATATACTTTTAGATGTCTCAATGACAAGAAGAAAACATTTTCTTTTATTTTTTGCAAAACAAACCTGGTGACTCACATGTTATATACTTCCCACTCGCTCTTTGAATGAATACTGAGAAGGTCAGGGACAGGAGATAAAATATTTTTCCACAGAGCCAAAGACATGTGAAGAACTTCCAAGAAATTGCATGATCCTGTTTGTAATCTCTCATGGGTTGCAAAAAGTAAACCCTAAAAGATTTCTCCCACCTTGAAGGCATATGTTAATGGTCAAAATACAAGCATGAGTGAGTGTATTATATATGTCTGTTCACTTGCATCATAGCCTTTTGGGACGTGGTGCTCTGTCTCTCCTGTAATTATTTGATAGCATTTGTTCAAAAGAGGATCTCATTCTGAATTTTCACAATGAAAAGCCAGTTCTTAGTATCCCCTAAAGAATAGTGAAAGTATAGTAGATTTTATCTTTTCTTTTTTCTTTTGTGTTCATGTATTGTCAAAGCTTCCTGAGGAATAATTAAGTAGTTAAGTAGTGAAAGGGACTGTCATTATAGCCACAGTGATAAGTTTTACCATAAGACATATCTATTTTGAAGAAGAAGAAATCATTCTCTGGTCATCAAATATTTGTACCTGCAGAGTTTATTAGAGATATTTAAGTTGAATTTTATGTAGAGCACAAGAAACTTAATTGGCATTTACTTATTCCACAAATAGTTACTGAATGCCTGCTGTATGCTTAAACACTATTTCAGATCCTATTGTAGAAAACAATTCCAAAACTCCTGCCTTCACCATTATGTGGAAATAAAATAATATTAATGAGATAATTACACAGTATATTAGAAAATAATATGGAGGAAAAAGAAGCATAGATCGAGGAAGGAATGTTAGAATGGGAGATAATGATTTTAAATAGAGTAATAGGAAAGCTTCACAGAGAAAGTGACTTTTAGGCAATGTCTTAAAATGAGAGAAGAAACTCTACGGACTATCTGAAGAAATCGCATTCTAGGCAGAACAGTCAATTATAGAAATTAGAGACAGAAGAAAGCTTAACACATTAGAGAAACAGCAAGCAGGCCTGCGTGGCTATAGCAATGAAAACAATGGGGACAGTAGTAGGACATGATGGCAGAGATACCAGGGTGATGGCAGATTATTTAGGGCCTTGCACGGGGTTATAAATACTTGGGCTTTCACTATAGGAAAGGGTCAGTGGAGGGGTTGAGCAGAGAATAAAATTATCTGGCTTAAGGTATTTTTATGTGTTATTAAAATCTTATACCTAAAAATATACATATTATAATTATGCATCTCATTGAATTATTAAAAGTGTACATAACCATTTAACCACTACCTGGGTAGAAGAAATAGGACATTATTGAGTATCTCAGAAGCCTCTTTGTGAGCCTTCTAGTGAATGCTTCTGTCTCCAAAGTAATTACTATCCTTCTAACACTATCAATTTACCTGTTCTTGGAATGTACATAAAGGAAATCATACATCATATGTTTTATGCCTGGACTTTTTTATTCATAATTATATTTGTGAATATTTAGCTGTGGCTTTTCATATGATTGTAATTCATTTATTTTCATTGCTGTATAATATTCCTTGGAATGCATATAGTACAGGTATCCACCCTATTTACTGGGTGGATATTTGAATTGTTTCCGGTGTTCAGCTATTAGGAATAATGCTGCTATGAGTAGTAGCATGTATATCTTTTGGTGTATAGTTGCAAAAATTTATGCTTTATAAATATGAGTTACTGGATCCTAAGGAATGCATACATGTTCACCTTTAGCAGGTAATATCAAAGAATATTTGAAAATTTTACCCAAATGTACACTGTCAGAAGTCATATATGACAATTCCCAATATTCTATCTTTTGCCAGATCTTGGTTGTGTCACGTCTTTAAAGAATTTTTTTGGTGGGATATATAGTAGTGTCTTATTGCAGTTTTAAATTACATTGCTTTCATAAATAGCGTGGTTGAAAACATTTTTCTGTTTTCATGGGCTATTTAGATATACGCTTTTAAAATGACTTTACAAGAGACTTACACAGTTTTCCACTCTGAATTTGTTATTGCTTTAAAGATTTAAAAATGTATTTTGAACATAAGTCTTTGTCAATTATATATATTGCAAAATTTTTCTACCATCCATGTGGCTTGTCTTCCATAATCATATTTTTTTTAAATGAATAGATATTGTTAATATTTTTAAAAATACAATTTCACATTTATAGTAGAAACTAATTTCTGACATGGTATATATTCCCTTCTGCAATCTTTTTATTTAATTATGATTATACTTTAAGTTCTGGGGTACATGTGCAGGTCGGACAGGAGTATCCAAATATTGAATCAAGTTTATTTATAACTAATTCTTTATATTATTTCAAAGTAATAAAAATATTCTACTTTATTTTCTAGAAGCCTTTTTATTAAACAAAATTTAATATAATATCCAAGAGTAGCATTGTTATTTAAATATTTATTTATTTTAGAATTGACCGATAACATTCTATGGTTTTATTAGGTCAATATAATGTTTTTAAGTACATATAAACTTGGAATTGTTAAATCTAACTTGTTAATCTAATAATTAACAAATTTATTACCTCACAGTTATTTCTGTGATGTGAACACGTAAAATCCACTTTCTTCACATTTTTCAAGAATACAATGGATCATCATTAAGTATAGTCACCTTGCTGTTGAAATGTATTTATATCATTAATTTTATTTATGTATCCTTTGATTAATATCTCCCCTTAACCCCCACCTACTAACCGCTCTAACCTCTTATAAACACCATACTACTCTTTAATTCTATGAGAACAACTTTTTAGATTACACATATGACTGAGATCATGCAGTATCTGTCTCTCTGCTCCTGGTTTATTTCATGTAACATAATATACTACAGGTTCATCCATGTCACAGACGGCAGGATTTCGTTCTTTTTATGGCTGAATAGTATTTTGTTGTGTATCTATATCACATTTTCTTTATTCACCCATTGATGGACACTTAGGTTGCTTCCATATTTTGATGATTGTGAATAATGAAGGGGTTGCAGATATCTGCAATAAACATGGGACTGTAGATATCTCTTTGATATATTGACTCAATTCTTTTAAATGTGTAACCAATGGTGAGATTGCTGGATTGTATCCTATATATATTTTTAATTTTTTGAGGAAACTCCATATTGCTTTTCATAATGACTGTACTAATTTACATTACCACCATCAGTGTATAAATGTTCCCTTTTCTCTGCATTCTCACCAACCATTGCTGTCTTTTGTCGGTTTGATCATGAACATTCTGACTGGACTGAGATGCTATCTCATTGTGATTTTGATTTGCATTTACCTGATGAATGATGCTGAATATTTTTTCGTATGCTTTTTGGTCATTTGCAGGTTATATTTTAAGAAATATCCAGTCAGGTTTTTTTTGCCCACTTTTAAATTGAATTAATTGGTGGTGGTGGTGGTTTTTGCTATTGAGTTCATTATATATTTTGAATATTAATCCTTTATAAGATGTATAGCTTGCAAATATTTTCTCCTATTCTGTAGGTCATTTTTTGGTTCTGTTGTTTCTTTTTAGCAGAAGCTTTTTATTTTGATGTAATCTCATTTGTCTATTTTTGTTTTTCTTGCCTTAGGTTTTGCCTACATCACTGTTGTGTAGTTTTCCCCTATCTAGTAGTTTTACAGCTTTAGGTCATATATTTCAGTGTTTAAACTGTTGTTAGATGATTTTTTATGTATGGTATAAGGATATAAGTTCATTCTTCTGCATACAGATACTCAATTTTCCCAATACCATTTATTGAAAAGACTGTCCTTTCCCTATTGTGTGTTTTTG